AGAGCCTCTTGGCCTGGGCCAGCCGGCCGCCAAAGGGAGCCGCTCGGCCAGGGGGGCCGGACTGAGCCGCGCCGCGCCGCACCCCGCCCCAGCTTACCTGCTGCCTCCCTGTTTCAGGCTTCCCGTGAACATTTGATTCGCGGGAAGCAGGGGAGGGGGAGGAGCAGGGGGCGGAGCGTTCAGGGGAGGGGGCAGAGTTGGGGCGGGGCTGGGGACGGAGTTGGGGCGGGGCCGGGGCCCCATGGAGTGTTCTCCTTTTTAAAAATTAAAATATGGTAACCCTAGGCTAAGTGTTACAAAAGGGCAGGAGCTGCCTTACTCAGGGCCTGTTCTTCTTCGGCTCAAGGAGCGAGAAGCCACCCAGCATGTAGGAGCTTGATGAGCCAGGGGACCCTGCCTACCTACCTGAGCACAGCTGGTCCCCCCCGGACTCCGCTGGGCGAGCGGGGGGCCCTGCAGGTTGGACGTGAGTGGTCTGTGGGAGCTGTACTCCCCTGTGCTTTCTCTGTTCACTGACAACGATGGGGTTAGAATCCAGGGCCCGGCGTGCGCCTCTGAGAGAGGTCAGTGGTCACCCCTTTGGGTGGGGTTCTGGCAGAGGGCGTGTTTAAGCAATGGCAGATGGGTCAGCACTGAGCCAGGGGCTAGACCCTGGTCTGTGGGCTCCAGCCCTCAGCAGGGGGTGGTAGACAGGGGGTCTGTGCCCCAGGGCTGTGTTCAGGTTCCAGAGGCTTAAATCATCCAGAGGCAGGGTTCCCTCACAGCGGTCTAGCGGGTGGCTGAGAGGGGCGCTCACCCGGGGCTGAGATATGGCCTAATCCCGCTTTCTTTGCAAACCCCCAACTCCCACCAGTTCCAGAATCGGGGCCAGCCGTGTTTCAAACAATAAATATTACTTTATTGGATGAAATCCTGTGTATTACACACACACACACGACCCCACCCCCATTAGATTGCTCTACAGTTTTGATACTCCCGGAACCAAAACCAGTCCCCAATCTCGCTAGGATTTAGACACGTGCTTAACATTATGGAGAATCAGGACCAAAGTTTGCCATCCACAAGGGAGCAGCACCACAATCAAGGCTAGGCAGCATAGTCCAGTGCCAGGCAGGGTATTAGGATTCCTGGGTTCTGTTTCCTCGCTCTGTTGCTGGCTTGATAGGTACGGTCACGTCGCCTTTCTGTGCCTCAGTTTCCCGTTCTAAAATGGGGCTGTTGATATGTACCCCCACTTGCAAAGCACCTTGAGATCTACAGGAGAAAAGCGCCATGTAAGGGGTGAGATTGACTGTCACCTCCCTTCTTCATCAGGGGACCAGGGGAAGATTTGGGGCAGGGTGGGAGTGGCGTACAGAGCTTTCTTCAAAAGTGACCAAAGCCTCTGTGGTTTCTCCATGTGTTGGCATCGCGCTGAGGGGCCAGGAGGCTCTGACCGGGTCTGACTAGCTGGGCGGGGCTGCGCTATCAGCCGCTGTGTTCTGTTCAATCTAAGGAGAAGCAAAATCCACATGAAAATGAGCTAGAAGGAAGCCAGGGAAGAGTTTAAAGGCTTCCACAGGCACTTCCCTTTCAGAACGCAGCTGCCGGTGACTTATGGGTGCTGGGCACAGGATGGGAGCTGGCAAGAGAAGCAGAAAACCAGCCCTTCCGCCCAGGCCCGAGATTCTGGAATAATCGCACATCCGACTCTCCAGGAGCCCGACTGGCTGGGGGCAGCTGTGGAGTTTGCATCAGGACAACTCATCTCTGGGCGCTGCTCAGAGCCTCCCCAGTGACCTGCAAACTCCTCTGCGCTTTGAGCCCAGCTAGAACAGGTCTGAGAAGTTCTCATTTTCCTCTCACACCTGTGTTATCCCTGCTTTGGGCTGGTGGAAAGAAGAGCAGGATCAGGCTCTCAGTGAGATGGCATGAGCAAAGGCCCGGCGGGCAGGCAGACAACTCCCCCCTCCGCTCCCAAACCAGGAAGGGGTTAACCACCGCCTGTGGTCACACTCAGCCCCACCTGCAGCCTCAGGTGTGCCCGAGCAGAGACTTTCTTGGAGGGTAGGAAAGGCTGCATCCCCTGCCCGCCAGGCAACTGTGGGGAGACTGGTCTCCAGTGAGCCGTGGAAGTGTTTTTCATTTTCTTTGGGCTGCTCTGGCCGGGATGGGCTCCTTCAGTGGCATAGCCGGAGGGCCGCGACCCTGCCCCAGCCAGCAAGACTGCTGTCACCCAGGGACTGACCTTCAAGGTAAGTCACCCAGGGTGTGATGGGGAGAGGCAGCCTTTGACGACCCCCCTTGCTAATTGGGGATTAATAACACCCAGCTCTTAGTGAGCGATGGATGAAAAGTGCAAGTGCGTCATGTGGGAGGGTTAAAAACCTCTTAAACGCATCTGTTTAGCAGCTGCCCTTCATCCAGCCCTAGCTGTCTCCAAGATGGAGGCATGCCTGCAGGCTAGTCAAGATGTCTAAGGTTTGGGTGGAGCGGATTTTGCTTTTGGGGAAGGAGGAGAGAGACATCCAGGGAGGAAGAGAGACAGAGCAGGACAAAAAGCCCAGCAGACACCGCCTGGAAGCTGGGAGCAGGGTGTCTGGACAGAGCAGGTGTTGTGGGTGCTGCAGGAAGTTAGAACTAAGCGTGAAGTTTTGCCATGGACATCGGGGGCCCAGGATTTCACTCTAGTTCTTGTAGCAGCTGATGGCCAGGGGCAATTCAATCAGTCCTGTTGCTCTTTATTTTCAAAAAGTAAAACCAAGGAGCAGTGACTTCTTGCCTGGCTGGGGGAAGGATCTGGGTCAGAGAGAGCTGCTTCGTTTTCCTCGGTGGTTAGCGTCTCCTTTGCCTGCAGCGTCTCCGCATGGGTCTGATTCCACGCCTGCAATACAAAATACAGCCACGGTAGATGGATCTTCGCCTGCGTGTTCGAATAGGCTGACCCACTGCTGCCTGCCTGGGGGTGTTCTGAAATGCTTCCCAAATGTGAATGGATGGAGCCCCGTTGCACTCTTGCTAAGCATTGTTATTCCCATGTGTGACTCAGTTTCCCCACAGGTGCAGGGGCTGGCCTGGGGGTAGAGCCAGGCACAGAGCCCAGGTGTCTGTCACTGGGCAACGTTTCCGTGAGAAGTAAGGGCCATAGTCTCAATCCACTTTTGTACTGGTGCAGGGCTGCTGGAATCAAGGGAGGTATGTGGCCATGAAACTGGATTAACACAGGGGCTGAATCAGGCCATAAATTTGAAACAAAAGTGGTTTAAGGCAATCTAGGAATGAAGACCCATTCGTGCACAGGTGCTCACACTGAGGCTTTCTAAGCCATGGGGGTCATTGCATTAGAGACCCGTAAGTGGCGCTGTGGGGTGAGCGCTTTGAGATCTACGGATGCAAGCTTCTTTCCAAAGCAGGGTCTGGATCACTTACTCCTCCATTTTACAGATGAGGAAATGGAGGCCTAGCGAGGTGACTGGCTCAGGGTCCGATAGAAAGCCTGGCAGAGGAACAGAAGGCAGGATTCCGGACTCTCAACCTCCCCCCCCCCCCCCCCTCCGCCGGGCCTGCCCAAAGGGCCGGCCGGGGTCTAATCCTGGCGCCAATGGTCATTTGCTGGGTGGCAGGAGGGGAAGGGAAATATGTCTTAGGGACCTACCTCCGGATGGGGGATAACATAGGCTGCACTGTGAACCGCTTGATTGTCTTGCGAATCAGAGTCTGCAATACAAAGCATTGGGCTGGTAATAAACCCACAAAGGAAAACAAGCCAAGGCAAAGCAGGTGCTCCACACCCGTTCCTGCTCAGAGCAATCATGGGGCTCGGCCCCAGCTCCTCAAAGGGATTTGGGCAGCTAACTCCCATTGAAATCAGGCCAACGGGAGTCAGGCCCTTAAATACCTTTGGGGCAGGGACTGTCTTTGTTTCCTGTGTTCGTACAGCTCCTAGCATCGTGGGGTCCTGGGCCATGGCTGAGGCTCCAGGTTCTGCTGCAATATGAGTAACTAATGCATGTTTGTAGGATTTAGCCCCAACTGTGCTGAGCAATGGAAAGTGGCAATGCGCAATGAACGGAAAGTGCAAAAGAAGGGAAAGGAAAATAGACCATGATGGCGGGGGGCAGGGGGAAATCTTGTTTGCAGTGTTGTTGTAGCCATGTTGGTCCCAGGGTGTTAGAGAGACCATCCCATTGAGAGTCCATGAGATTTGTGCTCCTAAATCACTCAGGTCCAGAGCCTTCAAGATGTATGGGTGCCTAAATCCTGGTGAAATCAGGCCATCGGTGGGAGTTAGGCCCTTAAATATTTTGAGGTTCTGGCCCTTGGGCACCCCCCGATCCTCACGACTGATACCCCAATGATGGGCACAGCATAGTGTGAATAGAATGGAAGGAGGGAAGTGAATCTTACCCGAGGATTGATCAATGGACCCGGCTCTGCTGCGGCTTTCTGAGGAACAAAACCAAAGGGTGGTGTTAAGGGAAATCACCGGGGGAATAAATGTTTTTTTACATTCTTCTGCATTCTCCAAAGAAAGCTGCGTGGTGGTGAGGGTGACTGAGGGAGGCGGGGAGGGGGCGCAAAGGGCTTTGGCAGGAGACTCTCTAAAGTGAAGTTTCAACCCTGACTCCCTTAATGAGCTGGCTAGTGTGTGAATGCATCGTTGCTCTCTACTGGATGAAATCAAAACTACCCCATGGTGTCATAGACCCTACGCGGCTAGCCACTGATGGGGATTCTCCTGTAGCTCAGGTGGCAGGGGCCTGAGGTTTGGGAGCAGCAGGATCTAAAGTCTGACCCTGCTGGGCCCGCAGTGTAAGTCCCGAAGGGCTGTGGGTGCCTGCAGCAAGGTTGCTTTCTGGCGTAGCAATGTGCAATGGCATTGTATTGCACGGGGTGTACAAGGTCATGCTGCACAGAGAATGCCACTGCGCCTCAGCCCCCCTGGCCTCCGTGCGCAGTCCAGGTTTGTCTCCGCATCGGCCCCCCGAAAGAAGGACTGTTCGGTTTAAAACCAGGCAGCTGACCTGCCTAATTCAGAGTCACCCCCTGCCTTTCACTGAAGTGAACAGGGCAGTTGAGATCAGAATTGGGCCTGGAATTTCCAGGCTAACAGAGCCAGGCCACACCCCGCACCTCTCTCTGTGGTCTTCCTGTACGTGAAATACAGGGTGATCAACGCAATGACCATGAACACCGGCGGGACCCAGTACTTGATCGAGCTGGAAGTGGAGGCGCCTACAAAGGGAAGAGAAGGAATTGAGTCACGAACTGAGTCACAGCCAGGGCCAACTCTTTAGCTGGTGTCAATCCATACAGCTCCAGGGATGGCAACAGAGCCTGGTTGATTCAGAGCAGGGACCTCAGGAGGTCATCTAGTCCAACCCCCTGCTCAAAGCAGGACCAATCCCCAACTCCCTAAATGGCCCCTCAAGGATTGAACTCACAACCCTGGGTTTAGCAGGCCAATGCTCAAACCACTGAGCTATCCCTCCCCCATACTGAGTGCTTGCTCAGGGACACCGTGCTGGAATTCTTGCCCTCCGCGCTGCAGCTGGTGCAGGTGTAGTTCAGGAAGCCATTGGCCGGCTTCTGGGTGATGCGGAGAATGGGCTGTCGACAGAACATGGCTCTTCCCTGGCTGGTGCCAGGATGGTGACGTCCCCGCCTCTTTCCCGCATGGTGCAGGTCAAGGTGACGTTGCAGATCCCCTCCCCAGAGTGGATTGCAATTGCTGGCTTTGACAGCTGCCCTGCTGGGTTGACACGGGGACAATCATCATCATCATCATCATCATCATCCTTTGCTCGCCAAGTACCTCACAAAGGGAGGTCAGGATCATCCTGCCCATTGCACAGATGGGGACACTGAGGCATGGAGCAGGGAAGTGACTTGCCCACGGTCACCCAGCAGGCCAGTGGCAGAGCTGGGGCTAGAACTCGGGTCTTCAGAGTCCCAATCCAGTGCTCTAGGCACAGGTGTGGCAGATCCAACTACAGTGTCTGCAAATGCAGCTGCCGGTAATTGCAGTCAGGGAGTAAATCCTACAACCTAATCTTTATGATCTGTATTGGGGGGCTCCCGGTGCTAGGTGCTGTACAAACACAGACCAAAGAAATGGCCTCTGCCCCAGAGAGCTTGCAGTCACCTCTGTTTGCAGTTTGTGTGGGATGCTAAAGGCTAACATTTCGGAAGTCACCTAAGTGACTCAGACACATAAGCTGCTTTTGGGGGATGGAGGCGCTTCACCCTCTTTGGCTTTCCAGGAGATCTAGACTCCCCAAACTTTCTTGGAAACTTGTACCCAGAGTGCCTAGAAGCGACACTGCACCAGAGGTGCTTTCAAGAAACTGTAGCTTGGCTAATAAACCAGCCCTGGGGAGGGAAGGGTTAGTATTAAAGTCGGTGTTGAGTGGCGCTTTGGTGGGGAGGAGGGTACACGCTGAGTGGATGGACCTAGTTCTGGAATGGGAGAGATGCTGCTACTCTCTCTCTCTTAATACAGCTTCGTTTCTCCTTTGCTTTGTCTTTGACCCTGGCTGTGTGCTGAGCAGAGGTTTTCCTTGAGCTGCTCTTGGGGGGGCCTCAGTCCCTCCTCCGATGCCTGTGTGGCTACAGTTCAAATTTCTGAGTCATTCAAACCATTTTGCAACCTGCTGAAGTCTGCCATGTCCCCTTTTGCAAGAAATCCCTAGGTTCATCTGAGTGGGTTCACTCATGAGTAACAGCTCAGCGAGGGGAGTGGGGGCTCGCCCTGAATGCGGTTGGCAGAGCTCTCTGCCCAAGACTTACTGGCTTTGTGCCCAGTGGTGTCCTTTACTGGGATGCGAACTGTTGTGTTGGGCGTTGTGGGTCCTCCTGTGGAGGTGGCTGTGTTTGTAGTGCTCCATGTTGCATTTCTGTCTGTTCTCTCTGCTGTCCAGGTGAAGTAGCTCGCTGTTCCTCCGACAGGCCCACTTTGCCCCGGGTCCTTGGACGATTGTCCTTGTTCTGCTGCTCTGGCAACTGCAAAAATTGTGACAGGTTTGGTTTTTAAATGAAAAATTGCACATTAGCACTTCATAGACACAGCACTTTTGTGTGCTGTTTCTTCAATGCCTACAGGAGTGGGGTGCTAGTCCATGAACAGGGCTCCCAGGTACTACAATAATACAGATAATTAATAGCCAACCCAAGTGCTTAAAAACCAGGAGGCAAGCTCCCAAAAATCAACACAGCTTATTTAAATCTCATTTTTCAGCTAGTAATTAACTTACAATTCTCTGTTTGCCTCCTGATTTCTGGGCCTCTAAGGTGCAATTGCTTTATGTTTTCAAGCTTTTCGCTTTCTAACCCTGCAGGCTAGAAATATGTGGTGTGACAAAGTTCCTCCTCTATCTTGATGGGTCCTGCGCTTGTTGGCGGATTTTCTTGCCTCAGAGATTCACCATGTGGGTTGGGGAACAGCCCAGAGACCTTCCCCTCTGGAAGAACCCACAGTCCAGGTCAATTGGGAGGTTTGGGGGGAACCCGGGCCCGCCCTCTACTCCGGGTTCCAGCCCAGGGCCCTGTGGACTGCAGCTGTCTATAGTGCCTCCTGTAACAGCTGCATGACAGCTACAACTCCCTGGGCTACTTCCCCACGGCCTCCTCCCAACACCTTCCTTATTCTCACCACAGGACCTTCCTCCTGGTGTCTGATAACACTTGTGCTCCTCAGTCGCCCAGCCTCCGCCTCTCAGCTCCTTGCACCTCTTGCTCCCAACCACTCACACCACAAACTGAAGTGAGCTCCTTTTAAAGCCCAGGTGCCCTGATTAGCCTGCCTTAATTGATTCTAGCAGCTTCTTCTTAATTGGCTCCAGGTGTCCTAATTAGCCTGCCTGCCTTAACTGGTTCTAGCAGGTTCCTGTTTACTCTAGTGCAGCCCCTGCTCTGGTCACTCAGGGAACAGAAAACTACACATCCAGTGACCAGTATATTTGCCCTCTACCAGACTCCTGTACCCTACTGGTCTGGGTCTGTCACAGTGGTTTGTTTGTTTGTTAAACAAATAAAGGAAGTGGAGATTATCTAATCACAGGATTCCAGGAGCAGGCGCTTTGAAAAACACCGAACATTGTGAACAGAGCTGGGCAAAAATATGTCAGTGAATGGTAAATTTGCCCCCCAACATTTTTTTTTTCAGGGAACCAAAACTATTTGCAAATTTGGGTCGAATTCAGCAAATTGTACAGGAAAAAAATAATTGCTTTTTTGGAGGGTGTGAAGGGGAAATGTCAAATCAAACCATTTTGATTCAAATCAACATTTTCAAAAGATTTCATTTGACCCAAACTAATTTTTTGTTGTTGTTTCAGCGAGGGGAAGAACAACAACAAAAATATTCAGTTTTGGTTCAAAACGAACTGACTGTTTAGATTTTTGGTTTGGTCACTGAACTGAAAAAACCAGTTATTTGCCCAGCTCCAATTGTGAGACTCACGATACAATCACAAGAGTTGGCAATACTGGGACTAATCCAGACCTGGCCTATGTCGGTGCTGCTCCAACCAGGAGTGGCTCCAGGCACCCGTGCAGCAAGCGCGTGCCTGGGGCGGCAAGCCGCGGGGGGCGGTGTGCCGGTCGCTGTGAGGGCGGCACTCAGGCAGCCTTCAGCAGCGTGCCTGCGGGAGGTCCACCGGTCCCGCGGCGTCAGCGGCAATTCAGCAGTGGGTACGCCGAAGCCGCGGGACCGGCAGATCACCCGCAGAAACGCCACCGAATCCGCGTGACCGCGGACTGCCCGCAGGCATGCCGCCGAAGGCGGCCTGACTGCCGTGCTTGGGGCGCAAAAAAACATAGAGCCACCCCTGGCTCCAACTGAGATCAATGAAACTGTATCAGCTAACGCCAGCTCTGCCTTTACCCCTCTCTCTTCTGCGTAAAACACACGTTGCCATTCAGCAGGCCAGATTCTCTCATCTGATCCTGCCCCTCTGTTCCACTCAGGCAGCACCGATTTCTTTGTGACCTCAAAGCATCACAACAATAATCTAAAAGGTAAAACAAAATCTAATAATAAACGTATACACGTCTCATTGAAAGGTGACGATGTTGACTAGAAAGGTCACCAGCTCTATCCTCATCTTGTTCATCATTCTGATCGCTGACGAGAGTGTGCAGGAGACCACAGTTTTCATTGCCTTGGCGTGTACACAGGTCTGTCCAGGGCAAATTGTTCTGGCTACAGACACAGCTGACTGTGCGGCTACCCCTTCTGATAGAGGCACAAATAAGGTCTTGTAGAAGCTCAGATCCCACTGGGCCCTTGAAGGACACAGGAAGTTGTTCATCATTCACATTTTTCCATCTCTGTGGCAATGGTGATCCAACATCCGGTGTCTCAATATACAAAGACATCCAACTCTGTGTTTGCCAAGATGCTCTTATGACGTGTTCTTCAAGACTGTCCACATGGTGGGCGTTTGCCCAGTGACTTGTCAAGGGCTAGATTGAGGGGCAAGCAGTTGAGGTCTCTGGGGGTCTCCTTTTCTTTCTCGCTCTGGACGTACGACACTGCTGCCAACTTCCTTACTGCAGAAATTGCAGCTTGTCCATCAATCTCTGAAGGATCTCTGAAGTGGTATGCTCCCTTCGTGCTGACAATATTAAACACAGATTTTCCCCCCTCAATACCAGATAGGGATGACACAGAGTCACATCCTATGAATGCGTGTGCAGCCAGGAAGTACGTTGCAGAAGTCAGGAGTGAGTGTGTCGCAGATTGCATGCATGGAGACAGAGGGATGCTTGTCAGTTGTGCTTATCTGGCCCTCATTGCTGTAGGTTGTGCCTCGCAATCCTTAACATAGTTATCCTTGCAACACCCCTGTGAGGCAGGGCAGAGCTATTATCCTCATTGTACACATGGGGAAACTGAGGCACAGAGCCTGGTGGCCCAATGGGCAGTGGCGCTGGAACGCTTTTTATAGTGGGGGTGCTGAAAGCCAGCAAAATGATCCCAAAACGCTTTACCTCACGCCCCCACCCCTCAGAGTGGGGGTTGGGAGCAGGGCCATGTCTCCAGGAGGTGGAGACACAGACGGGGTAAAGGGGCCGAGGCTGGGGCCATGGCTGGGGACAGGCGCGGGGCCAGTAGCGGAGTCCTGCATGCAGGGCTGGCAGCCGGGACCCTGGGCACGGGGCCAGTAGCCAGGACCCCACATAAAACCTGGGGGTGCTGCAGCAGCCCTCCACCCCGACTGCCCATGCCAGTA